ACGCTTCGGAGCCTCTCTCTGATGGACCGCCAGGTGCTTTTTTCTTTGCGTCCAGCTTCTACGGGGAGGCACAGGCTCCGGGTGGGCACAGCTCTGTTCACAAAACAAGCACCGCCGATACATGTCTTCGGTTTTTAGGCACAACGACCCGCGCACTCGTAAATCCGCCGCAATGATGATGCTTCCCGGGCGCAACAAGAAAAGAGACATGCTCCATCAGTCCTCTCGCCCCATGGGGCCGCCACACGTCCGGTGCCTGTTGGCGCGCGCGCAGGAACCTCGGTGGTGCCCACGCCCATCAGGCGGTGGCCACGACCATCAGGCGACGGCCACGACCATCAGCAGCCACTGGCGACCCGCGAGTGCTTTTCCCTCTGGCTGCTGTGCAATCGGCTCTCTAATATCCGTGGGCCTCGGGATCGCTAGGGCGGGTGGGGCGTGCGCTTTTGCGTCAGCTAATCGTAGATGGCGTTCACCGGACGCTGCACGTGCTCCCCACCGAGAATTTCCGAAAAACCTCTCAAGGGCCACCGATTACGCGAAGCAACACCGACGAGGCGGGGCGGCGGCGGCGGGGGCGGCGATCACAAAGCAACAAGCGCGCCCCTGAGAGAAGAGGGTGGGCCTGCCGCCGGGACACTTTCGGCACGACGATGACATACCACAAATGCGAAAGCGCGCGCGAGATCCCTATTAATTGCACGAGATCCCGGAAAGAGACGCCAGATATATGATGGACGCCGTGATGACGATGAGCGCTTGCTGTACCCGTGAAGCCCGGCCGCCAGAGGCGCCCGCCAGCGACGCGCGCCTCCTGGCCCCATTGGGTCCATTCCACCGAGGCACGTCCGAGCGTTCCCCTGGCGTGAGCTGTCCCCCTTGACGCTTGCGGGGCGGGGGTGTGCGCGGGTCTCGAGGGTACGCCTGTGCTCTCAGCTTGAGCTGGTGCGTTTTTTTTTGCCTACATTGATCCTGAGCGTCGCCCGAACGATTAGCAGGCGCAGTTTCCTTTTTCTTCTGAGCCGCAATCAAATATGGCCGGGGGAAATGACACAGGAGGAGGTGTGCTGACCCCCACAGGAGAGCGTCCGACCGCGGTCGGCGAACGCAGAGAGACAGACCAGCGGTACGGTACCACCATCACCCTCTGGATCCACACCACGCTCCTCATTCTGACTTCCTGATCAGGCCCGTCGCAAATGAACAGGAGGAGGGTGGCTGCCCCCAGCTTGCAGAGCTCGGCTGGCCTGCGGGACAAGCCAGAACTGCAACCCGGCGCGGGCGCAGGAGTCCTGCCCAAACGCAACCTTTTTCGTTCGCCCTGATCGAAAAGGTGGACGACGTTCATTGTCGTAGCGGGACCACCACACCCGCCACCACCATCGGGTGGGACCCCACGGGGCCTGGAGCGTGCAATTTAACTCCTCGGGCCTCCGCGTGCTACGTACCTGTTGCTCGCCGCCGGCCCGCCGCTGCCGCCTCGCATTGCCGTTCGCGCGTGCGAGCCCAGCGCGCCCGCAATCGAGGAACGCTGTCGGTGGGAGCTCTCTGCCCGCGCGCGCGAACGCTTTTTGCACCGCCGGGGACGCCTGGTGGCGGAGCGTGTCGGTGTGCGCGGTGTGCGCCCGAGGGCGAGGCAACGGAAGCAACCCTGGCCATGACGGGATTAGCGATCGACATTTTGGATTTGGAATGGATTTGGATGGAGGAGCGAACGTGGGCACACTTGCTAACTGTTGGGCACGGCACGACCCGCGGCAGCAGCAGCAGCGCGCGTGGACCACGCCCCAATGCCGAACGCAAGCCCGTTTTTTGAACCTACAACGCCAGACTTTTTCTTCTTCTTCTTTCTTTTCGCCCGCCCGCCCCTGAGCGCTGAGCACGCACGAGCACAGCTGTGGCGGGGTCGTCTGACGTCTCAGTGCGCGGTGCGATGCGGGTTACTCAAGCACCTGCGAGGCAGCCCGAGACAGGAGCGAGCGGCAAGCTTTTCTGGCTCGACTCGAGTGGATGTGTGCGGTCTTGTTGTGATGGACGAACGCGGGGCTCCGCCTGCCTGCCGCACGTCGCTATCTCGCCGCGCGTGATTGGCTCGCACGAGCGTATTTTTGTGCTGTGTGCGCCACTGGTTGGTGTGTGCGCCTCCAGGGCATCATAACACCGTGACTTTTCTGTGCCTTGCGAGAAAATTTTTTCTTGTTGACGTGGCTCTCAGGTCGGCATGGCTGCGAATGCACACTCGTATTGTCATGGACTACGCCATCCTTTGTCAGCGACTGCTTGGACGATTTGCAAAAAAAGCGGAATGGTTTGGGGGCGGCGGCGGCGGATGGCGCCTGCCTAGCTCCGGCAAACCAACCGGTGATTCAAGCCACGTGGCCCTGGGAGGAGGAGATCGCAAGTGGCAGATTGCGCCGGAAAAGCGTGGAGGGAGAGCTGCCAGATATGGCAGTGCTTGTCTCGCGCGCACACTGCTAGCACGGGAGGCTGTACTTGGTCCGCCTACGCGAGGCTGTGTCCCATCAAGCCAGCAGGCCGCAGCGGCGCGGGGGGGCTGTGCCCCCAGCCTTTTTGCGTCGGCCGCGACGGCGGAAGCAGCGCACGCGCCCTCGCGTTCATCTCCGCCGCCGCGAACGGGCAGTCCATTACGCACACATACTGTAGTATTTTTGTAATATTCTCTCGTTATTTGTAAATGGGGGCAGCAGCGGAGTGGAGGACACGATCGAGCGGGCGCCACTCGAGGGCGGAATGGAGCCGCATTTCGAGGCTCTCTCAGCCTCGCCGATCAATCTTCCGGCCGTCTTCCGCGGCGGCGGGAGCCGGCACGGCGGGGCGCGGGCGCGGGCGCGGACGAAGCTTCTTCTTCTTCTTCTTCTTCTCGCCGCTGCCCGCCCTCGCGAGTGGTTGTGCGGGGACGAGGACGAGGTGGGGTGGTACTGCTGCAGAATGCTGTGGGATCCGCGCCGCTCAGGGTGGGAAGCCCGGGCGCGGGCGTCGTGGGGAGCTAGATAGGATGATCTGTTGACGGTGGTGCAGCGAGGGCTGTACAGGACGCAGCCATCTAGGCCCGAAGCGGACAGACCTGGTGATTGACAAAGCGTGATCTGCCTGGGTGTGTGGTGATTGCTGAGCAGATGTGATATTGTGCTCGCCCGTCTGGCCCTCCCCCTGGCGGTGCACAGTCGCGAGACATTGCCCGGAAAAGGGAAGCCAGTGGGGACTTCGTACTCGGACTCGGATGATTATCGTCGTCGTCATCGTCGCTGTTGCTCGCGGCGGAGGACTGGGAGGAGAGCTGAGGGCTGTGGGTCGTGCAGGGTCCCGTGGGTCGCCTGCACGTCGCCTAGATCTCCATCAGCCGGTGGCAACCTGCGCTCGGAGCGCTTGGGCCTTGGTGAAGAGTCTCTCGAGCTGGATTTCGCCATTTCCTGGCCCTGGCCGATTCCCTTATTTCGGGCGTGGAACCCGCTGCGCTGCGATTTTTTTCCTTCTCGACCCGCGAGCCCCCCTTTTTCCTCCCAGCTCTCGCTCTCCTCCTCGGCAACGGTTTTTGTTTCACCGCCCGTGCGTCCGCCACACTCCTGGGCCGTTCGGTGCGGAAGCTCCGCCGGGTTTCCCCCTATTCATACTAGTACATAGATAATCCACTCCTCCAGCCCTCGTACTTTCTGTTCTTCCACACCTGATTCCGCGTCGAGCTTGCTTAGTGTCCATCGCTGCACGCCTCCTTTATATTCGCCAGCGCCGCCCAGCCCAGCCCCGCACCGTTAACGTGCGTATATCCTCCTCCTCCACGCTCCTCTGCCTCCAACCACCGCCCGCTCACGACCTTTCACGACCGACGCAGTTATTATCTGCTCAACGTACCAGCTCACGTTACTCCCGTCTTAATGACTACACTATTCGCCTCTCGTCACCACTTCCCCATGGACCCATCTCCGTTCAACCCACACGCGCTTCCGCCATCCGCTGCCTCCTCACACTCATCGCTCTCATCGCCGCGCATGTTCTCCGCAGACGGCCCCGCCACAGGCATCCCGGAACACCGTTCCACCCCCTACGGATCACCGTTCGTCAAACATGAAAACAACGCCCGTCCCAGGACCCAATCTCCGCTCCAGATATCAACCTCTGCCGCCTCTGCGCACGAGACCGACCCCGAGGAGGAGACCGCGCACCCGTCGCGCATGCGGACTCAGCTGCAGCACGGAAAGGGGAGCGCGAGCGGCGCAACAGTAACAGCAGCAGCAGCAGCAGCAGCAGCAGCAGTAGCCGACGGCGGCGCCCAGGCGAGTACCAGCTCTTCCCGACGCAGTCCCTCCCCATCACGCACACTCGCCCGCCCGCCCTCCGTCTCGCTCACCGCCAGCCACGGCTTCGGCAACCTCGACGACGGCCTCAGCCGGCCCCTCACCCACAAGGAGCGCGAGCTCCTCGCCCACCTCGACCGCCTCAAGTTCTTCCTGGCCACGGCGCCCTCGCGGTGGACAGACGCCGCCGACGTCAACCCCGCCGACCCGTCCTCGCTGCCCGTCGGACACCCGAACTCGGCCCACCCCGCGCTCAACCGCTTCCTGCTGCCCAACTCCGAGTACGTCTCTTGCGTCCTCTGGGGCGGCCTCTACCACATCACCGGCACGGACATCGTGCGCGCCCTCGTCTTCCGCTTCGAAGCCTTTGGCCGCCCGGTCAGGAACATGAAGAAGTTTGAGGAGGGTGTCTTTTCTGACCTCCGGAACCTGAAGCCCGGTGTGGACGCTTGTCTGGAAGAGCCCAAGGTACGCGCAGCACCTGTTTTCTGGCGGATTACGCCATAGGCTCGGCACACGAGACTGACAACTGATCCTTGCCAGTCGCCCTTCCTCGATTTGCTGTTCAAGTATCAGTGCATTCGCACGCAGAAGAAGCAGAAAGTCTTCTATTGGTGAGTGTGCCCCTCCATCAGGGCCCTTCACGACCGCATCTCGCGGACTGCGGCAGTCGCCCATTGCTGACGCGCCTGTCTCCACCCCAGGTTCTCTGTCCCGCATGACCGGCTCTTCCTCGACGCCCTCGAGCGCGACCTCAAGCGCGAGAAGATGGGCCTGGAGCCCACGACCGGCATCACCGGCGAGCCCGCGCTCTCCTTCTCATACGACCCCAAACGCTCTCTCTACGAACAGTTCAGCAAGGCGTCTGGTGTCGCCGAGGGCGAGGGCGAGCTCGAGGCCGCGGTGCGGCGCGCCGACCAGGCCAAGGGCGGCGACGACGGCGGCAGGGACAACGGCGCGTCCTCCAGCGCGTCCGAGAGGCACCAGTCCGACGCCGACATGTCCTCTTCCGAGGCCGACGAGCCGGGCAAGTCCAGCGACGAGAAGCGGTCGTCCAAATCCAAGTCTGCGCTGCACGGGCCCAACTCGCCGTTCTTCTCCATGTTCTCGCTCTTCGAGGGCTCGCCGACGTACAAGCAGCGGCGGAAGAAGGTCCCGAAGCACCGCAGCCCCAGCCTCCTCGGCATCTCGCCCTACATGTCCGACCACGCCGACGACTACTTTGGCGTCCCCGCCTCCGCCCCCGCCGCGCACGGCATGAACGCCATGCGCCCGCCCGAGCCCCAGATGGACCGGTACGGGCGGGACACAGCCCGTCTGAGCGCCGCCGAGATGTTCCTGGCGCAGGCGCGCGGCGACTTTGGGCCTCAGAGCAACCCTGACCTCATCGCCTCGCAGAAGGAGCGCCAGCGGCGCGCCATGCTCGCGCGCGCGGGCCAGCTCGCGGACAAGGGCTACTTCGCCCCTGGCATGCCCGGCGCGGACGGAGGGATGCACCAGCAGGCGCTGCGCGCGTCTCCCGAGAGCATCTACGGGTCGCTCCCTGTCGACCACGACATGGGCCGGCCGCACGCGGAACAGCGCCACACGTTCCCGCTGCCGCCGTTCCCGATCCAGGACCGCGTGCGCGCACACACACAGCCCTACGGCGGCGAGGTGTCCTCGGCGTGGCAGCAGCCCGCGTCGGACCCGATCGCGATCCAGCGCACCAAGGCGTTCGTCTGCCCGCTCTTCTCGTGCGGCCGCATGTTCAAGCGCATGGAGCACCTCAAGCGGCACCTCCGCACGCACACCCTCGAGCGGCCGTACCAGTGCCAGCGCTGCAAGAAGCGCTTCTCGCGCTCGGACAACCTCAACCAGCACCTCCGCACGCACACCCGCGGGGATGGCGCCGAGCGCGGCGAGGGCGAGGGCGAGGGTGAGGGCGAGGCGGACATCGAGAGCGAGGACGTCGACGAGCTCGACGACGAGGCCGGCATCGAGGGCTACATCAACGCGCTCGGCACCATGCCCGACGTCCAGATGTGCGAGGTCGAGATCCAGGGCCAGGTCCACGAGGTGCATGGCGACGAAGACGGCCTGGTCGTCCCCGCGCCCGGCCTCACGCCCTCTGGGTCGACGAGCACGAGCGTGGACGAGGCCCAGGAGCTCTACTACAGCGACGCCGGCCTCGTCGACTCGGAGCAGAGCCCGTTCGTGACCGGCTCGCCGGGCGGCAGCCAGTGGGCGGCCATCCGGTCTTCGCACCCCAGTCCCGCGTTCAGCACGGTCAGCATGCCTTCGCCCAGCCTCAGCTCGTCCTACGGCTCATCGTACAGCGTCACGGACTACATCTCGATGTCCGCGCCGTCGCACAAGCAGTCGTTCGACCACGCCGCCCTGTACCCGACCGGCGCGGAGCTCAACGGCCCTGGCCCGATCCGCCGCCACCGCAGCGCGACGCCGTCGGTCAGCCGGTACAGCGAGGGCGCCCGCCGCCCGTACACGGCCTCCGAGAGCTCGCGCTCCTTCCACCCGTACGCGCTGCCCGCGCACTCGGCCGACAGCAGCCCGATGGCGTACAACGTCCCGCTCGCGTACGACGACTCGCCGCAGATGGCCGCGCTCAGCCGGCCGCCGACGCACCACCAACACCACCATCACCATCACCACTCGCACTCGCGCTCGAGCTCGACGGGCCAGCTCCAGGAGCAGCTCGACCAGATGCTCAACCTCGAGCCGATCGACGGCGCCGCTGCCGCTGCTGCGGGCCTCGCCGGCAGCTTCCACGAGCCTCCGCCGATGGCCGGCGGCCCCGCCGTCGGGGGCGCGTACGGCGAGCTCTACCGCACCGACTCGCCGATGCAGTTCGCCGGCGCGCCCGCGGGCCCGTACGACGTCGACGTCGACGTGCACTCGCAGAGCGTGTTCCCCATGTCCCTCGACAACGACGTCGCGCCCTTCCCGCTCCAGCACAGCGGCGGATTCTACAACGACCTCGCGCCTCACGGCTCTGTCCCGATGTGAGGCAACTTCGGCTGTCCTCGTGCGCGCGTTCAGTGAAAATATGCTCCTAAGATATAGGATTGTAATATAGAATATCTCAATTTCTCTAATCTTCATAATGCTGTATCCATGGTCGTCTTTTGCGCTTCTTTCGTCCACATTTCTATCCTTCCTCGCGGTCGCCTCTTGATTGTTCTGGCGAACCGGCTCTCACAAGCAGCTCCCTATTCTATTTCCCTATGCTGTATTTACTACGGTCGTCTTATGTTTCATGTTTGCCCATGTCGTCGATTGGATTTCAAGTACTAGAGCGTGCGCATCAGCACTCGCAAACATGTGTGCGCGTATGAATGTCCAAGTCCGAATCGGGCCCCGCTGTCATCTGCTCTATGGCAGATGGCGATCCACCTGGGCAATGTGCGCACAAAGTTTCAGCGCGGCCCATGGCAAGGTAGGTATTCGATAGGAAGTTACATGTGGTGCTCGAAATATCTATGAGGGGGGTCATTTCGGCATATGCACTGTCTCAGGGCGCAAGGAGCTCGTCCACTTGACCGTCCCAAACGAGGTCATGGAAGATATTCATCCACCAGCGCACCTCCTGCCCACGCCCAAATGCGTCGAGCCTGCCTTCCCCCTCGTCTCGGCAGATCTCGCCGACGCCCTCGACCTCGAGCACCATCTCCTGGACGAGGCCGATCGGGAGCGACTCTTCGTACGCGACGTCCACAGTCGTCCTCGGACCCACTGTGCACCGGGGTCAGCCGCGGGCGGTCAGTCTCTCTGGGGATGTGGCACGCACCGAGCGTCAGGAGGCCGACGAGCCTCGCCGAGAACGCCGCGCGCGTGAACGGCGGCGTGTGCAGCACGGACAGGCTGCTCGAGAACGTGCGCGTGTGGATCGGCGGGTCTGTGCACTGAGGCAGGTACGGCAGCGCGAGCAGGAACGTCGCGGGCGGGATCAGCGCTGCACGCCACAGAACCCAAGCGTTAGAGTGGGCGAGATTCAGGGAGAGAGAGAGAAAAGAAAAGAAAAGAAAAGAAAAAATGGGAGACGCACCGACGCCCCGCGCGCGGTTCCACCCGCCCCAGACTTCGTCGAGGGCAACGATCCCCCGGCGACGCATCATGCCTGCCGCGGCGGCCTTTCCCCTGCCCGGCGTGCCCTGTAGCACGCCCGCGAGCTCCCGCGCGAGCTCCTCGTGCCATTTGCGCTCGTCCTGGATCATGTCCAGCGTGACCGGCGCGTTGGACATCTGCAGCCCGAGCTGCGCCAGGGACGAGCGGATGAAGGTCGCCTCTTCGGGCTCCACGGCGGCCGATCCCGGAGCGGCCCCCGCGGGGGCTGGTGACGACGAGAACGAGGACGGCAGAGCAGACACCGCAGTGAGCCGCTCGTTGAGCTCCTCGGCGTAGCGCACCATCTCGCGCGCCTGGATCTTGAGGGTCTCGAGATCCTGCAGCGCGTCCTCCATGTTCGTTTGCGTCGCAGCGGCAGCGGTCTGCACTTCCTGGAGGATGCCATCTGTGGAAACACGGTCATGAACATTCCAGGTGCGTGCAGCAGACGTGGCCACGCACTGATTCCGGAGCGATTCAGTGTGTTTGGGGTGGCGGCGCGGGTACCCTCCTGAGAGCTCGATGCCGGCGCACGACGCAGTTTCGGGCCCTAGAATGACAAGCGTGAGCTACTGCCTCCGTCGAACACACAGATCATCCGGGCAGTGCGCTGAAACGCCCCTGCTATGTAACCGACACAAGCATGGCGCACTTACCTCCCAGGCTTTGTCTAGGAGACTTCTACGCAATACCGCGTAGAATGCCTTGTCGCCCCCTTTCCTGAAGCTGACCTTGATCATCCTTGGGCCTTCCTCTCTTTCGTCGTCGTCGTCATCTTCGTCGTCCGACGTCGGCCTTGACGGTGGAGCGCTCCTGGCAGTCGGGTGCACCGGACGCGGCAGAGCTGTTCCGCAAATCTCGCATGAAGAGAGTGAGGGGTAGTTCAAGAACGTGCAGGCTGGACAGGCGATTTGGGAAGGCTGTTCTGTCCGTGCAGGCAGGGGCAGGTGATGTGACGAGGAGGGCAGAGACGAAGAGAGATGGCTCGTCTCGGCAGGCACTCTGGACTTCGACTGCATTGTCGTGTTGGAATCTACAGGCGCAGAGGGGACTGCCGAACGTGGTACACCACACAATCCGCAGACCATGGATGCAGAAGGGCTCAGGCCCGGCGGATTGCGGTAGCTGCAAACTTCGCATTCCCAGACATCAGAGCCACTGCTCGTGTCTTGCCGACTCTTTGATGTATTCATCGGCATGGTCCGCGACGGCATGGGGTTGAGGTACACCGTCACTTTGGCAGAGCTGCGGAGAAGCCCCGCCCAGTAATCCGTGCGGCAGATGTGAGAAAGGTTCAAGGCAAAGGAGCGAGAGTGCGGGTGACTGTAGTCGACGTAAAACAGTCGAATGTTTGATATATGAACGGATCCGGATTGATGCTGAGGCGATTTCTGGGGGCTGTAAAGTGCGATCAGTATATGCTTTCACAACCATGTCCTCGATGAGATGGTGAAGCCAGCCACCAGCGACAGTTTCCTCTGCACAGAGTGGCACTTGGAGGCCTTTTGCCACCAATAGAACGTGTATCTGCACCCACATGGCCAAGATACCTTTCTGCGTATAATGCTACACAAGCTTCTGTGGGCTTCCGCATCGTAGCAGATGACGCGGAAATGATAGAGAGTCCCATCACGACTTAGTGACTGTGGAAAGCCCACTCACCCGTCATAAATGCCTACGTCTCCCTGAGAGGCGAGAAGGTCTTCGTCTTGATACAACAAGGCAGGAACTGGAATTGTCCCGTCGACCAACTCAGTGTAACGCTTTAGTGCACTCATAGCTCGGGAGCAGCGCGCAGCCGTGCCTAGATCGCCGAGTAGGCTGATGTCGTAAAGCAAGACTCTAAAGCTTGCTCTGTATACAATTCGTGAGAGCCAGCCAGGTGCCTTTCCTATTGGTGAGATTTAGATGGTGGGACTAACTTTTAGGAAGTAGTAGCATACGAGCTTACTATCGACCACTCGAACTTGAGGCTGTTTGAGGTGTTCTGAAGTGAGCCACTCTAGCAGGACGAGAAAATGAGCAAGCTTTTGAAGTCGTCATAAGCAGTTCGGTGCATTTGATGGCATCATCTTAATCGATCCTGTAAGGCCTTGCGCGCGCTACGCGTTTCACCACGACTCTCCGCCGACCATGTCGCCAGACGAGGATCCTCGGATGATTCACAAGGCTAAAGCTTCAGAAACTACCCCTTTCGCTCGCTCTTACCTTGGCATTCTCAAGCCACGTCGCGGACATGTCCGGTACTCCGTGTCACCGACCGTCGGCTCGCTTCGTTACATATTGGTGGGATTACCAGAGCTATACCTCGAAAAGAACGACTTCTAGCAGAACGCTCTCCACAAGAGTCCCCACCAAGATTTTTTTCAAAGTCTTCTAGTTCAAGAACCGTGGTTACCAGCCTGCTAATAACGTCGCCGGCCTTCCTCGTTGCTGTCTGTTCCGCTTGACCCGTCATCTTGCACCAGGCCGCATCTGCTGAAAGCCGGTTGCATTTCTCGCACTTGTTCCGTCACGTTTTAGACGTTGGAAATATGCCTGGGATGCTGCTGCCTTCGATGGCCCCGAGTCCACTCATCGTGAGAACGCAGCCGACGTTGGCGTAAGCCGAAGCGCTCGCCACACGGAGAGAGCTTCAGCCTTGCTGCGATGTTCTTTTGTGTGTTCATCACTGCGCTTGAATTCTACAGTATCACCTACAGCCCCACGTTGGGTACTCATGCATCATGGCTGAGAGGTGCGCTGTCGCGCTCTACAAGACTCTGCATTGGCTGACGTGCTTCTTCAGTGTGAATACTAGCTTGTCTTCGCACTGACATATCCTCTATACTCCTCTGCATTTCGTGGGCACGATACTCCGGTGTACGGGACATCATGCTCTTTACGGTCGGGAACCTGCACCCTGATTTGCCGTACACGCGGGTATATGACCGTGTTACTTGGTTGTGATTCCCAGCCCTGCGCATGGCATGAAATTTCCCGCCGGTGCGACCCGCTTGGGGACGGTACGTCTCACACCCGACGCCGGTCGAGCGGCGTCGAAGCACAGCAGATCATGTTCTATCCATGGAGGCGTATAAGCGCAGGGACGTTGCTGTTTACTAAATCTTCCTGTTCGTTCGTCGTCGCACCCCGCTACACCCACAACAAGCTAGGATCGTGAATGAGCACTTCTCTCTCGGACAACATCACTGGAGAATAATTCTTGCTACATTATTTCTGGCAATGAGGTACGTCGACATCAGATTGACTCGGCGCTTCGGGAGACTTGACGAGAAGCGTACTGCTTAGATCACCTAGTTACGCCGTATTCTGCTTGGTTGTAGTCGCTCTCCTTAGCCCCGCGCCAGCGACGCGCGTAGCGTACTGGCCTCGAAGTGCCGACTTCTGGGCGATAGCCACGGCAGCCAATGTCACCATCGACGACACCTCCTCGCTTATCACGTACTCTGCGAACGATACCTGGCGTCCTTCCACTGTCCCTTGCGACACCTGCCTAGATCCAGACAATAGTTTGGCATATGCAGGAACGTGGCACGATGGAACTCACATCATTCCAACCGTCGACAACGACGATGTAGACGACACCGATCAGCAGTCGGGGAAGTCGGGAAATGGTGGTGGCAAGCAAGGCGGAGACGGCGATCAGGACGGCGATGGCGGCGGCGATGGAGACAGCGGAGATAATGGGAAGGGTGGGAAAGATGGCCAGCACCGACGGGGTATGCAAGATGTCGGTGTCCCTAGGTTCAAGCGGCAGGAGTCTATCGTCAGCAACCCATTCTTCACCCCGAACTTGGACAGCGACGACCCTGGTTTTGTCGACAAGTCAGTCACTGTTGAGTTCAACTTCACCGGTGCGTGCTGTCCCAGTCTTCCTATCTCCCAATTGTCCGGCCGAGCCTCTCATTCTACCGAAGAGTAGAGGCGAGCCTCATGATTGGTTGCAAGCCCTCTCAGTTGTGCTGACCGGATATTTCTCGCCCCACGCAGGTTCGGCCATCTACGTGTTCGCCATCATGCCGTTGTTCGCTGCTCCAGCAAATACCACACCGACATTCATGAATCTCACCTACACGTTCGATTCGCAGCCAGCTGGAGTATTCCTACACAGTGGTAGCGCAACCGCTCCAAATACGTCCTATTCGCCATCAGTTGTCGTATTCCAAAAGACTGGGTTACCTGAGAGCCCGCACTCTCTCACGGTCAGCGTCGGCCCGGATTCTGTCTTTTTGCTCGATTATATCGTCTATACTCAAGACAGCGACTTTGAACCAGCTGCAAACAACACGAGCGGAGGCAGTTCATCAAGTGCGCCGGTATCATCGCCGGTCGGTGTCGTGAATGCTTCGCCAAGCCCAACTATCAGCCAGTGCGTAAAATCCGCGTTTACTTCGGGTCCAGTAACTCTGTTGACTAACCAGCCTTATCTCCCATTCGCTCGTACCCCTGTTCTGGCGCTGGCCTCCTTCTGCGTGCGACGCTCACTTGACTTCAACCTGATTCGTTCCTTCATTAACCACTCACACTCGCTTGTGCTTTCCTTCCTCCCTCACCCCACTCTTCACTGCACACACCGATTGCAATCCTATAACGGCCACCTCGTCGATATATAACGACCACGCCAATTGTCACGCATCGCCTTACCCGTCCTTCGTAATGCACATCGGCATCGCACCCAGAGCCACGGCGTCTGCCAGCTCTTCGGCCAGCAAATCGCATAACGTCTCCACATTCGCTGGTGCAGTTGGAGGCTCTGTCGGGCTTCTAACATTTCTCTCGTTTGCACTCGCGTTCTCGCTCTGCCGCAGACGACGACTCGCCCGTCGTCGAGATCGCGCCTATCGCGAGTCCCGTCGGGAGACTTCGTCGATCAGTACATTCCATACTGACGCTTCGGAGGATGGACCACCCATGCAGGGCCCAGTCCCCTTCGTCCCGAGATACTTCCCGGGTACCGTCATCCATGCCGCGCCGCCGCCGTACACGCCTTCCGCCTCGCCCTCGAACGAGCCCACGAGCGCGCTGCTCGGCACGCCGGAGACGCCTACACCGTCGATGATGTGGTCATCGAGAAGGACAGGAGGAGTGGTAGGGGACAGCGAGTCGTATGCGGAGAGGCCGCCGCCGACGCCGCCACCGGCTGGAGGTTCGCTCATGGGAACAGACGTGGAGGAAGGATACTTTGCGCCGCCGCCGTCATTCCAAGTAGCCATTGCTACGCCCGTCCCCGCGATCCTCGCCGGTCTGAGCGGGGTGTCCTCGCCAGCAGCAGGGTCGCCGTCACCGCCGTCACCGCCGGCGTCACCAGTGATACCCCTGCTCCCCCCGCCGCCGTCCTCGCGGCCGCCGCAGCTGATCTCGACCAGCGCACCGAGCTCGTCGAGCGAACAGGGCCTTTCAGTGCTGCTCTCGAGCACTCAGGCCCCACTTTTCGTGCGCCCCACCGCATCGTCCCAGTCGCTGCGATCGCTGCACCCACAGTCATCCGACGGCGCAGCATTGGACCCGGACGGCGACACGCACTCAATAACACGCTCCTCATCTGAATCAAATCGAGGGGAGGCGACTGTACCCGGCCGGGCTTCACTACAGCCCGCGATCACAGAATCTCAGGGCAGTCTCGGCGTTCAGGCACGGGAAGGTAGAGGCGAGGAGGGCAGAGATTCGACGCACCGGTGAAGATGTGTATGATTAATGTATTTTTATGTCATAATTGGTGAGCGTCGACTCGGCTATCGTACCTTTCGTCCTCGATGTCGCTCGCGTCCTGCACCGGCTGCCTCGTCTTGCTTGCGAAGATGCAGATGTACGGTGCCACGCTAGCCGGTAGTACCGACTTGTCGTGGGATTATGCTTCCCACCGCGCATGTGCCTGAAGGCCTGACCCTTGGGACTGGGTGTGTGATGACTTTTGCCGTCTGCGGGCACTGATTGGGCCGCCCCTGCACTCATCCAAAGTATGGGATGACCACCTGAGGCGGCTCCATCTGCATCATACTTCGTTACTCGTGGTGACGCGCTTTCTCACCGTACGGGCGGACCTCACTCATTTTTCTTTTCCATCCGCAGCGACGCCTGCTGTCATCTTTCGATCCGCCGGCACCGGGATGCACCTTGTATCATAGACGCGCGCATATGCTATTTACAGCAAGCACACCCACAGGCGTACATGCTCTGCTTCTCATCCGTCCATGCTCGTGTGAGCGGTACCTGGGCCTTTCGTCCACCGCAGTCTCTCGAGGGTATATCAGAGGGGGGCTCCTCCACTCCGCTGGGTTGTTTCCCGACCCAGTGGAATGCTGCCAGCACCTCCTTCATTACTTGCAAGTGCAGACAGGAATCCTTCACGCAGCTGCGGCTGCAGAGACACTCATATGAAATACATCACAGCAGGAATATTTGGAACGCTAACACGCTGTGAACGTTTTCTCAGCTGCGCACCCCGTGACTGCCTCACAGTCAGCAGACATGCCTCGAAGTATAGACGCTTTCAGCCCCATTGCCAGTTGAGAGTGCATGTTGTTTTCCGCTCATTCCATTCAGTGGGATGATCGCCGCCCGTTGAGTCGTACCATGAGTCCGTCGCTCTACCCGGGTTGCTCACCAGGTGAGCCTATTCATAACCCAGTGTTTACCAGTGGTATCTCCGTCGCCGCTTTCGGCACATGTTGTATCCCAGAACTCGGCGAACACAACATCTATGCGCACGAACTTGCGAGCCATTGCAGGAAGGTGCTGTCGTCCGCATGAGTCCCGCGCGGGAGCAGGCACGTCCGCTTTTGTGTGGAGCTATCTCCGCCTCGGAGCGGCGACCGCATCTCGCGAGGACGAGAGGGAAGATACAACTCCATATGGGTGGTGTGTATTCGTGAAGCTGACACTCTCGAGAGGTGCGAACGCCTCGAGGGCGTTGACGCGCCCGGGAGTCGAGTGGAACGAAAGCGAGGACATGAAGTGTGAAATCGCGGTGGTCTGGACTGCGGCCCTTGTAGTTCCATCTGGTCTGCAGCAGAGGCGGAGGGGCAATACATAAGAGCATTCGAGGAACTCAAGCTAGGAAGCGTGCTTGGTTTGGGGATCTCGATTCAAAGTGCTGGTAGCTCATCTAGCGCTGCTTAAACTCGGGCAAGCTGTTCACGTAGCCATCCGCTATCGTTAGCCCCGTATTCAGTCGGTGGACGTGATTCATGCATGAGATCTACCACGATTTTCTGCTGTGGTAAACATCCAGCGGAGAGTGAGCCGCGCAATGGCCATTACGTGCATACTTGCCAACCTCGCGGCAGCGGATGTATGCAACGGTACATAAAGATGGATCCTTAATGTAACGAGAACAACAACGTTCGCATCGGCTAGCTTTACTGGTGGCGTCGTACCTCCAGAAGTTCAGCCGTTACCCGAAGTCTGCCTTTCTGGTGCAACGATGCCATGGGCACTGGTAGATCCGTCAGGGAGTCGGCCGTTGCTTTAAAACATCTCCACAGCGGTGTTCATAAAAACTCACGCGACTGGTGTGACAACTGAGTGCTTGCGTCCTCCAGCCAAGTATTAGCAGTGCCCACCAATAATTACGTTACGCTGGTGAGTTGCGGCAGCTCTAATAATGTCGCCTGCATGAGCCGACGATTACGAGATGAGCGGCAGGAGCAAACCAAACTGCATCCGTCATAAAACCAGTGAGCCCACAGCGCATGAAGCATTGCTGGTCCACAAAAGGTGATAATCGACTCGAGATTCCATTGCTTAGTACATTCAGCACAGAGCTAGCGGGCTCCGGTCATCTGTCAGTCCGTGAGAGCCAACCTGTTCAAAACCTCTTCTGTTGCGTATTATGTGCGTATGAAACCATGCTGGAGATGTCACGAGCGCGAAGGCGCAGAATCATACAGACTATGAGCGAAGAAAGTGTGCCTGACTGCGTGGTTACCGTACACACGGCCTAGGTCAACCCTGCCCGTTTCTCTCTCATCATGGCCCTCGGTCTCTTCGGCTCTCTGACCATCTTTAGGGACGACGTGGGTCAGGGGGGTAGCGAGGGAACGATGAGAGCACTCACTATCTCAATAGAAACGGGCGGACCTTTCCATGAAGGATTATCTGTACCTAGATGGAAGGTACCAACCGTCTGAAATCCGAGGTCAATGTAGAAGCCTTCGTTGACAGGATTAGACGATGCTAGCCAAACCGAGACGCCTCTGGCATCTGCCTATTGACGGTAAGCTTGGAGTACATCATTCAAGAGCCCAGCGAACAGACGAACCAGATCTGTCGCAACATGCACGAGGGCAGTGGCATAGCCACCTTTCCGATATTCAGGAGCAGTGATAAGCCAGCTAACCTCCATCATCTGTTCTAATCTTTCGCCTAAATTTTCCCTGAGAGCCTTCCTGCTCTTTGTAGTGTGCTCCTCGACACGCTATATCGGAGATAGTCGAATTTACGTTCAGGCCATTCATGGAATGCGTAACAAACCTTCCTTTGCTCTCTGGATTCCGACAGCCTACGGATCCCCAGGATGAGCCACTTAAGGAGGGGATCCAAAATTTTCACTATTGGCTCCCTTTGACGTTCGGGGTCGCTACTGCAGTATAACTATTGTATGAGCAACGCGAATGATCACTTATCTAACATATTTCAATGTAGCTCAGGTCCGCTTTCACTCACATTATTGCTACAGCCTGTCCATGATCCACCGTCCATGAACCTTTTTCCAAAATTCCGCGGTAGAATTGCAAACTGAACACGAGCCGTGCGCCGGCCTTATATCGTTTGGAGTGCTTATCGCCGTCGTGAAAGGATATAAAGTCAGAGATTGCTGAACAGCAGCCTGAGGACTGGTACCCACTGGAGTGACTTGAAAGTAGATCTGCATAGGGTCCTCTGGGGCTGCTCTTTCTACGGTCTCGCAGGCCTTAGGTATATCACCTGCGGCCGCAGTTATTGAAGCCGTTAGTGAGCTAAGAGCCAGATAGCTTGTGCGAAGGCGTACAATGACGCATCAACTCTGGTGTTGCTGTCTCGTCGAGACGTGCCGCTACACGGAGCGGATTCTCTGTTTTCTCGAGATTTGTAGATCCACGCGGCAGGTTCTGTAACCGGCTGAATGAAGTGGTTGCGTCCCGAAGACGATGTAGATAACAGAGGCTCCCGAAATGGACAGGCATCGTGAGGTGAGTATCCCCTCCGGAGGATGCGTGGAGCCCAGCAAAGACCAAGTAGCGTAGAAAAATGTATATCGCGCTACAGACAGCTTGGTCTACTTGTGCAATCGCAGTGGGGTTCTGGTCCCTGGATAAGCGGTGCCACCGTGCTAGGCACGTGTGAAGGTCGGCTGGCGCCCGCCGGAGCGCGATTCTCCTTCTGGATGCACTAGACGTGCCAGTGAAGACGGCAGATTCCATATAGACGGTCTTGAATGCATAAATAATACTATTTACACTACTGATAGTCGTGCTTAATGATATCGCACGCTGTCGGTGAGGCATAGTTCAGCAAACGACCAGAATGCCGCACAGGATGTAGGCTTGTTGAAGCTTGAAGACTTACCCATCTCCGCAATCGCGTACACAGTGGCCTGAGGATGTACAGCCGTGTGAATGGGAAGAACAGACAGGTCGACAATGCGGATGTTCTTGGTGTCGTACACCTTGAGTCGCGTATCAACGACGCCGCCCTTGTCGCGAGGCATCATTGACATGCTTCCAGTCGTATCTATGCCGACAAGGTCAGCCGCTCTGCCCGCCATCGTATCGACCTATTGGTACGTACGGAAGCTCGAGTAAGTGTTCTTGCGGACATATGCTGTACGTTGCGACTCAGCACTCACTCGCACAGGACTGCCAAGTACGTGCACGCACCATACATCTCCTCGTCGGTGTTCACATCTGGTCCGGGAAGCTGCTCCTCGACGACAAGCGACTTGAACGGCTCCGTATGGGTCACCTTGCGAATAAACTTGGCGGCATCCACCATAATATCCAGATCGATATCCTCCTCGTAGTAGTGTGGGTCGATGGCCGGCCACGCCATCGGGTCTGCAGACTGGATGTGGATCGTCCCGCGCGTGAATGGCCGACCAAGCGTCAGAAAAATGGTGATGTACGGCTTGCTAGGTTCCGGCGGCGGCGTGGGGAATGTGAATGGGAAAAATAGAATCTCAAAGTCGGGCACCTTGGGGTTCGCGAGCAGCTCGAGCTGCTTCTCGTACGATATCTTGAGTCCGGGCGGATGGTCTCCCTTTGCGACCTTTGCGCGCTGCTTCTGCACAAGCTGCTCAGCGCGCTCTGAAGCGGTCTGGATGGGCACGAATGAGACGCCGTTCACAGTGAGCTGGAACGAGTCTTTCAGGCCGCTGGGAAGAGCTTTCAGTTCTGCTGGCCTATAAGGTCGCGCAAAAAACTCACAGTGCAGTTTGGATTTTCTCTGTGAACTCGTCGTCGTCGAGCATGCCGGATGTAATCAGGTCTCTGTCTTCGACCATCTCTATACAGGACATCAGCATA